GTTGGTTTCCATGTAATTTTGATTTGAAAATTTTTCTGAAAATGTTAGAATTTTTATAAAAAAAAACAAAAGGCACGTGGAATTTCTAGCAAAATACCGGATCCTTGCATCATCAAAAGATCGTTTCATGAACTGACCGCTTCACTGGATTTGCTTTTTTGGACACTACTTCCCCTAAAAGCACTCTTACTTGATCAGGAAAAAAGATCAATTCTAGGGCTTCTAGAATAGTGCCAAGGGCGTAGAAATCGAACAAAAAAGTGTAAAATTCAACGAAAGCATCAAATTTTGCTCCAGTGACCCTGAGCTAAAGGAAAATGAGGCAAGAGATGGCAAATATAAACCAAATGCAAGAAAAACAACGTGTGACTGTAATAAACTTGTTCTCCTGGAAACAAATTTCGGCCCCATGAAGTGAAATCCACCTCCCTGCCCCCTACGATTATGCAACTGTAATAAATCTTTTCTCCTGGAACCAAATTTCAAAATTCCGAAGTGAAATCTACTCCCCTTCCCCGCCGGTTAGAATTTCCACCCCTCCCCAATTCGTATGCAGTCGTCTACCACAAGCACCCAGCATAATGTCTCCCATTTTTCAAATGTACGAGTTGTCCCTCAAAATCTGCCGGATTCCGGGTGGGTCCTTCTTTTCGTTACAGGCCATAGAGCCAAAACAGAAGTACTGTGCAAAAGGGGGATCCTTAATTTTAGCTGTGTTTCTTACTTGTCTGCGTCGAATGGGAATTCTCGGGAAGCGGCAGATGAATCGTATAGGGAAGCATTTGTCCATGAACCATAGCAGCCAGCTGAAAAAAAAAAGTGGAAAATTTTAAGCAAAGTACTAGTCTTGCAGCATTTGACTTTCTTCACAGTCCTGGATGCCCTTGGTCGTCAGGAAGCCAAGAGCCAATTCCTGTCTGGGAGCCTCGGACATCAGTCACGACCTTGGCGTGAACCCGTAACCCAAAGGGCCTGAAACCGCGTACAGCTGAAAAAATAATAAATGGCAACGCGCACCAGACTAGCCGGTGCGATCATGCGTTTTGTGCAATTCAGC